CCGGCCGGCGCGCGACGCGCCGCGGCGCGTGTTTATACACGAGCGGCGACAAGCGGGCCCGCGAGAACGAAAGTTTGTCTTATAAATAGGCAAACGAACGTGATTGTTCGGAATGGAATACGCGCCGGTCGAATCGCCGCGATGTCGCGAGACGACCGATTCGACGGTGCGGTTTTGGGAGAGTATATTATGTGCGAACGGAAAATGTACTCTTTCAATACTTTTCCCACTGTATTTCATGTTTCTCCGATATTTCGCGAGAAATTTTTAAGGAACGACTTTCTTGAATTAAAACTTCGATGATAAATTATGTATATAATTGAGATATTATTGTATCCGTTATTATTATAGTGTACTTTATGAATTTGTAATTACACTGTTAGAAATGTAACCACGAGCTTCCTTTACATGTAAATGAAGCTGGTGGTTATGAACGAAATTAAAAGTAATGAATGATTTAACTGAAAATTAAGTTACAGTAGTTACTTAAATGTAATGAATGTGTACATTAAATTTCATAAATTTTATGTATATACATGTACATAAATATACTTTTTAATTACAAATATATTAAATTTAATGTAATATCATGAAATTAAATTCAATTATGCAACTTAAAGGTTAATGAAATTTAAGAACATTTCTAACAGTGTAGCTACAAACTGTATTTATTCGAAATTTCACGTTAAAAATATGTTTCATTCAAAACCATTACAAAAATCTATTTACTTATTTTAAATATTAAAAACATTATTTTTCAGTACTCTTGGTACTCCAAATAATAAGTAATTAATTAATAACAATCTTTCAATAATAAATTGATCAATTATATTGAATCGATTTATTATAAATCAATTTATTATTGAGCAGTAGAGTAATTGACTTATTTGGAGTACTAAAAGTACTGAACAATATTTTTGTGAATACTCTGAACGAGTGATGTTCCAAGTCCTAAAAAAGAAGGCTGGACTCGAATAATTTTATATAACTTAAAAAAGCGAGTTTGAAGTCTGAATTATTCCTCTATTGGTTTCGTTGTTTTTTAAATTATTGTTTACTCGATGTGCAGATAATGCAGAGTGAGAGATGAATGCGAAACTGAAAATATTTGTAATGTTTACAAAAATATTTATTTAAACCGAAGTATTAATTTATTTCTTCAAAAAATGTATTCATACTCGCATTATATTAATTATTTATTTATTTAGTCGAATATTAGACGTATTCATTAGGCACACTAATTAATCTAATTATTATTGTTGTCTATATTTTTGCAATGTGTACTTTAGAATAAAATCGAAATCGATTTATTATTATACATATAAATTTCGAATCGTAATACTTTCATTAACAGAACTTTGGAAAACATATCATTTATTTAATTTATTACTAGCTTTTATAATTTTTGCAGGTTTTAATACGGTATATTTTCCAATTTCCAAATTCAAACCTCAAAAGTATATGTAATTTAACAATAAAATCGAAAATTTGTTATTAATTAAAAAAACTATTTTATATATACATTTGAAGAGAAAGAGAGAGGAGGAAATCCGAAATTGCAAAAAATCTGGACAACAATAATTATACAAAAATAAATCTGAATATACAAAATGAAATTATTTTATACTTCATTTTCGAGGACTTTCATATTTAGAAACTGTATTTTATACAAAAAAAAATTATTATGAATTTTTCAAACGACTAATACAATTTTTCTTATCAGATAAATATGAAGAAGAATACAATACAAATGTGTGACATGACTGGACGCGTCACAAATGAAGTCAGCTTGAAGTTGCATTAATTTCGACACACTTTGCAATACGCATTGCGTTTAAATACTCTTACATCATGACCGATGATTAAAAAGTAGAAATCACATTTCCTCGATTGATTCAATATCGTGCGTGAGCAGTTATTTATATCTAATCTTGCGCGTTAATCTCTCGTATGTACGAAACGCGGATGCTAAAACCGTCAGACGAAATTCTGAACTACGACGCGCTAATATCGTACATATTTCTAGTGCCAAAAATTGACACGCTTACCTCATTTGCAACATTTGCACTTATCTATTTGTACACGCGCCTACGCATTTGACGTACGTAGTAAAAAAGTATTTTACATTTATGTCGAAATCCTGTCCTCGTTAAAACCTTTGTGTTGAATTTTTAACATATCCGAATATTAAATTTAATACGATGCTCCTGTTATTTGAATATTTCGTGTTATACTGACATTTCTTAGTGTTAAAATCTAAAATAACATGTTTTATGCGTTATGAAAAAAATGAAATGAAAAAAAAAACATTTTTATAATATAAATCAACAAGACTTATTAATTAAATATATTATAATAACCGAAAGAATATATCTTTACATGAACAATTTGCTTAGAAATTGTGTCAATTATTTTTCATCTTAATTTTTTACGTAATATTTGTGTTGCACTTCATGACGTATCATCTTATATTAAATTAATACAAAAATTTTAATGGACAAAAATTTGGACGTGAATGTGTACAATTTAACATAAACTTTCCAACTATGAATATACGCATAAATCAAAACCTTGCAGCATCGGATGGACAGGAGACACCCGGTATAGGAAGATGTAATGCCGCACGAGTGAAAAATAGAGACAGAAAGACGGACAGGCAAAGAGAAAGAGAGATAGACAGGGAAAGACAAAAAGAGAGAGACCGATGAGGGAGGGAGAGAGAGACGCGCGTCATCACGGTTGAAGGAGCACGGATTCTGGCCTCTCTGTTCGTCGAAATCTCCTTCGCGCTCTCTCGGCGCGATTAGACAGTCTGGTGCACTCGTTGCGCATTTGCAACGTGCGCGCGCGTGGGTCTTGCATTCCAGGAAACATCGCGGTCACTTCGCTCCGTCTCTCGCGTTGCGCGGCGTAACGAAAAGCGCGCGCCGCGACAACGACGCGTCAGCAGCGCGGCCGACACGGGTTAGGTCGCTCGCACTCGCGGAGTTGCGTCAGTCCTCGAATCCGAATGGAGAAACACGATCTCGTATTTCGCTCACCGGCCTTCGTCCAACTTCCACAGCTGCCGGCTCAAATGTAAAATCTTCGCTGAAGATGCAGTAAGCCGCCGGATGCCGAAGTTGAAGTTAAAAGATAATAATAATAATTGAAGGAGCTTAATTGAGATAAAAGCGAAGTCGATAGAAACTTCGAATGGAAATTTGGAATGTAACTTTGTTCTCCATCGATCTCTAGGAGATTGTTTCTGTTAATTTTATTTTTGTTCTAATTCGATTTTTTCGTACGTTTAAATTATTTTTAGTTTTTTTTTTATTCTGTTATACTTTGACCTTTTTAAGAACTCCTTCCACTGATTCTGTCTTAATTAGTTAAGTATATTTTACGTTGCCATTACTTCTCTCACATTTTTGTACGATTTCTTTGAAGTGTAGTTTATCAAGATGAATCATTTCGGAATCAAAGTCATTTTTATCGAAATTGAGGTATTACACTTTTAGATATCAAAGGAGCAATGATAACGTAATCCCTTTATATATATATATATTATAAAAAATATTTGTTATTTTTTTCATTTCCATGTGTTTTAAAATGAAAGTCATCGATTTTTCTGTAGTTTCAAAGCAAACAACGTCTATATTAACGTGTGCAATTAATAAATAATACATTAAATTTAAGTCGAATTTAATACATTTTCTTGAGTTTTTAAAAGTGGCGATTTATAAAAATGATTAGAAATAACTCAAGTTGGATATAATTTTACATTATAAATTTAACGGTGTAAAGTCTGATTCAGAATCAGGGGAGACACAATTTCCTTCAAAAATTATATTAATTAAACATTCCTAGATACTAGATTATAAAACCGTCGTTCACATGAAAAATGTTTTCCTTATACTATTATAAAAATACACTCGATAATGAATTATTTTACAGAAATTTAACTTATCGCAACATTGCTATTCCTTTTGAATTATGTACATTTTTTTACAATAAAATTAAACAAACGACATTTTCTTTTTAACTTATTTTATAATATCTTTAGAAATCTATCATTACAGTTACAGAATTCTTAATAAACAACTCTGTTATGTATACGAAAATGCTCATTTATTTGAAAAATACACTGTAAGTTATATTTTCAAAATCAGCTACTTTTCTTAAAATAAGTTTTGAAAATGATATGTTCCATTCACTTAATTTATGACATGACAAGATATTTTAAACATATTTGTAGTTACTTTTAATAATATACTAGACCGTTTTTTCCAGTTCTCCAAAGGTTAGATTTTTTTTTATTTAATAGAATTTCTGAAATAACTGAAATTTAAGTGTTCGGATACGTAATGCAAAAACACGTTTAGGTTCCCATTACAAGCAATCGCGACGAGGGAATTTGATCGTTCCATAAAGAATTGACATAGTAAATAAATGCGCTCACTATAAATAAGCATGATTAACGAGCTCATAAATAAATTTTGCACGTGCGACGCCTGATAATGATGCAGCGAGGCATTTAGTATTCATGCGGAGAAGGTGACTCATAATCCTATCTACCTACCGCGCCGTAATGTAACGGGTGTAAATAAGATCTCGAGTCGAACGGCGATGATGACAAGCAAGAGCGATAAAAACGTGCGTGCCCGGCGGAAAAACCCGGCTTGTCCGTGGCTGTTAATTAAGTAATTAATCTCAGAACGAGAACGAAAACCAGATCCTGTCGGGATATCGTTAACATCCATCGGGTGTAGCTAGCACATCGACACGAAGGGTGTTTAAAGACTGATTATGTTAATAATGATTTGCAGTGCAATAACAGTAGTGTAATATCTCATTAATATGTACTGTCAATCTTTTGTGGTTCGATGCATATATAAAAAATATTTTGAAAAAATTACAATTGGAAATCTT